ACATAGGAAGTAGCAATTAATAACTTTTTTGGGAAGGAAATAACAAGTAATGCTACACAATTATAAAAAATTAATTAGAATATCTATACATAATGATGTAGCTGGTGCTGCTCTTATTACTTCAAAACGGAAAATTTATTAAGGTTTAAATTAAAAATATAACAACTACATTATTTAAGTCATAAATTTGTATAACAGTTATGAAATAGAATTTGGCTTATCTACCATTAGGCAAGGTTTGGGAAGTGGGTTTGGGTGGGTTAAAATAGTTACAAAAAATAAAATAGGCTTTTTAGTCTTAATAAGACAAAACATCGCATCCAACCTATAATTATTACGTTCTTTCTCTCACAAAAAACTATAAGCTAAACCAAACACATCAAAATAGCTTAAATTAAGCTGAAAGCTGAAATAAGCTGAAATTAAGCTGTACCAAACAGGGCCTATAACAGTTATGAAATAGAATTTAGCTTATCTACCATTAGGCAAGGTTTGGGAAGTGGGTTTGGGTGGGTTAAAATAGTTACAAAAAATAAAATAGGCTTTTTAGTCTTAATAAGACAAAACATCACATCCAACCTATAATTATTACGTTCTTTCTCTCACAAAAAAAATTTAAAAAATTAAAAGCTAAAAACTCTTTCCAAATAAGACTTTTTAACCCTTGTACTAAAAAAAGTCAAAAAGTCAAAAAGTCAACCCACTTGCCCAAACCTAGCATATCAATTGGAAAGGTACTAATGAGGCTTGGACGTTGTGCGATTTGCTCTGAATCAAACTATTTATGATCTCATTAATTTTTTGCTCAACCCTAGACGAGAGTCCCCTAAGATGGCTGTGCTTGGATCTTGGCGAAGAAGGCCTAACTTGGTTAACCATCACAAGGCACAATTAGAAATTGGAAGCTGAAAAACCATCTCTAACTATATTTTCATGGGCCCAATTCAAGACTGTTCCAGTCCAAATGTACTAAACTTGTTTTGGACCTTCTACATCATCCTACTTGAACTTTAAAAACCAAGTACCAAAAACTTTAAAAACGATTTTAAAAAATAAATTTAAAAAAACAGATTACTACGTCGTTTTGAATGACCCTAGCTGTTTACCAACAGCCACTCACAAATCTGTGGACTTGCCGTAACTCTAAATCAAGCTTGTTTAGTTGTTTTCTCTCTTCTTTTTGTGCAAAAAAAATTTAATTGACAAATTGTTTTGAAAAAAAGGAGAATTATTTTCATATAAAAATACAAATGGTTTGGTTTTTTTAAATTTTTTTTTTATTTTTATTTTGAAATATACAAACAAAAATAACAAAAAACAAAATCAAACAGGCTGTTTTGCCAAAAACAATCATTTAACAGAAACTAACTCACCTACAATCATCTAGATGCTCTACATTAAATTGTTGTAATGAAAGAATTTTCATTATATTATGCAATAATTGTTAAAAAATTACGTTAATAATTGAAATAATTTTTAAAAAATTTAAAATAATAATGCATTACTATTTAAATAATATAATAAAGATCTTCCATAGGATCTCAATCCTCCCATAGACATTTCAATCTACATCACATTATGCACATATACAATTATCCAAATTCCAAGCAATAATAAATAAACATTTCTAACGTGTATATTTGTATATCACTACTTTTTGGGGGCAAATGTACCCTCCATTGTTGGGCAAATATTTACTTTGAAACTTCAAAAGCATGTCCTAATTAACTGATGATAATCAGTGGACTATCAACAAAATTACTGATACAAAATCAATTATGTAAAATAATTATAGTCATACATATTATATAGTGAAATTTATTATAAAATATACGAGTTCACTCAAATTGTTCCACTTATATTTTATGTATTAGTTATGTGACCAGTTCTATATCTATAAACTTATTTGTGAACAATTCCGAGTAAACGAAAAATAGAGGCATAAAAAAAGTATTGAGCTTTACTTTAGTCTTGAATTAGGTTTTCTGTAGGAGAGAACTAAAAAATTAACTTATGACTAAAACTAATAAGTCTAAAAAAAAATTGATATACAAAATTAAATTTGTTTGACATATTTTGAACTTTCAGATGACTTTTCAAAACGGTTAAGTGATTTTGTTTTGTTTTTTTTTTTTTTTTTGTGTTTTTGGTAAGAAATAAATTTACCAAATACGTTATAGTAAAATAAATTTTTTTAACCAAACAACTGATTTTTAAACCGTTACCAAATCATTCCATTTATTTTGACAATTTGCTAGTTTTAGACTTTTAATGATTAAGTTTATTTTATTTTTTAAATTTATACACATTGATTATCTATAAAACGTGTTTTTATTTTTTTAATAAAAAAATTCAATCTGATAATTATAATATAATATTTGTAGTGACTTATTAATGATAGTCCTAAGAGCTGTCAATAGACACTATAAAATGTCAAAATATTTATTATTTCAATATATTTTTTTACATATTTCAATAATAACTATTTTTAGTATGTTTCATATTTATTTTAAAAATATACTTATTGTTTATTTTTTTGACAAAAAATTAAATAATTACTATCAAGTCAATTAAATGGGCCGAAAAGAAGCCCAATCCGTTAAAAGGAAAAGGGGCACTTACTAGCAAGTCTCGTATATAAAGTTTAAAACCCATCTAGTCTCAAAATAAAACACTTACACTAATTAGATCTACATATTTTTAATTGTTACAAGAAAATCCTCTGTTTTTTATAAATTTAAAAACACTGCTACATTCCACCACCGCCGAACTTTCGTTTGACGGTCACTGGAGACTCGCCGAAATGTTCAACATCACTTGGAAGTCGTTAGAGTATCGTCGGAGTATTTTGAATATCACTAGAAGTTGCCTGAATGTCCTGAATGTTCGATGGACGTCAAGAATATCGTTGGAAATTTTCTAGAATGTCCAAAATATTGTCTGGAAAAAAAAATAAACAGAGATATTATAGTGAAAAAAATATAAGAAAATGCACTAAATATTAATAAACTGAAGAAAAAAAAACCAACAACAACAATAGGAAAAAATTTATATTATTTTTTAATTTTTGTAGGGTTTAAATAACTAATCTCCAATATTGATCAAACTGAAAAGTAACTGTAAAATGTTACAGTTTTTTACAGTTTCTAAGAGGGAGATTTATGATCTGGATTGGGCCGTGGAATTGGGCCGGACAGATTTGGGCCAGACAGAGTTGTGCCAGATAGATTTGGGCCGAACAGGTGTTGGGCCAAGTTGTGTGGCCCAGCCTTGAAGGAAGCTGCTCGGTTAAGGCAGCGCGTGGATTGACCGAGCTGCAAGGATCCGTGGTTACGAAGCCGGTCAGGTGAAAGGTCCAGCGCCAGGAAAGGCAAGGTTGGACCGAGGTACCTTTTTGCTCGGCAGGTAGGTCGACTGCAGACAAGCGTGAGTTGTCCCGAGCTCGGCTTTGCCGAGATGCCGCCGAGTCCGGTCCTCATCTGAGCTTAGCTGTTGGAGTACTTGGGCATGAAGCGCAGCATGGCAGACGATGGCCGAGATGGTACTACCCAGCTGCCGAGCTCCTAGGAGAATGGGCAGGCAGTTGGGTTAGGTGGTGCTCAGCAAAGTTTATGCTGACAGATGGGATAGTAGTGCCATGTGTTGAGAGGACACTAGGAGTAGATTTGGGGCGCAGAAGGTATATAAGCACGTCTGCGCCCCCCATACGCGGACAGATGAACATTTGGTGAGACATACACTAAACACTCAACACTCTCCCTTCTCTCCATCTATCCCCTGGTGTGTGTTCTAACTTGACCGTCGGAGGGGTTTTCCGGCCACACACCACCGGGTAGCTCGCCCACATTGTGCTTTCAGGTGATCGGACAGAAACGGAGCTTGGAAGAAAGGAATATGGGCTCGCCTGAATATTTGCTCCCCGTACAGTTTCAAAATATGATTTTATTAAGCATTTATTCTTATTAATAAAACTGAAAACATGTTATAAAACTGCAAAATTTTATAATTATAAAATTGTAAAATTTTATAATTTTTATTGTCTGTAACTAAAACTCGTAAACAATTTGTTCAGAACTTAAAAATTTTCTCCATTAAAACAGAAAAATAGAAGTGTGAAGTAGAGAAAATGTAGAAAAATTGAGAGATTGGATGAGAGAAACAGATATAGAGAAAATTGTACTCCGGTAACTATTTTTTATTTAGATCTAATAGGATCTTCTTCGCCGAAAACTCGTCTTCTTCGCCATCAGTGAGGTAAAATAAAGAGTCGGTGATTAGTGATCAGTTATTACCGGTGAACCCCAATCAATCTTAGTGGTTGGTCGCCGATAATTATATATTAGAAAGAGAAAAATTAATGTATAATCGTCGATTATCAAAATTACAAAGAGATAGAAGCAGGTAAAAATAAATGCACAAAAAATAACAAAAATAAAAAATACGTAATAACTTTTTGAAAATATCGAAAAGAATATAACTAAATAGACTTCAAATCATTTAAATAATTTGCCCAAAAGAAAAACGACTATATCCATACCCCTATTTTCCTTTCATCTCTTCTTTCTGTGTTCTGTGTGTATACATATCAACACCGCAACACATTACGCAACTCTTTCTCTCTCTCTCTCTCAATTTTGCGTCCTATGTTTTTCTCGGTAAAAAAAAATGTTGTTTCATTTAAATAGAATTAGCGGGTGGCACATACGATGTGTGTGTACAATTTAAATAAGTAGGAATAAAAAAAAATAATAATGAAATTAATACTATAATGTGTACTTAGCTTAAGTGGTATGAGTCGTCGTACTTAAAAAATAAAAAATACTGCCACATGCCATGAGGAGAGTAAAGCTTCCGGACACCATATTATGTGCTCACTTTATAATAGTATAGATAGATATATAAGTAATTTGCCCAAAAGAAAAACGACTATCTCCACACCCCTATTTTCCTTTCATCTCTTCTTTCTGTGTGTTGTGTGTGTATATATATCAGCACCGCACCACGTTACACATCTCTCTCTCTCTCTCTCTCTCAAATTTGCGTCCTCTGTTTTTCTCTGTAAAAGAAAGTGTTGTTTCAATTATCGAATTCCCTCTCTCTCTTTCTCTCTCTCTCTCTCTCTAAGATCATACTATCATATATGCTCTGATATATATATATATATATATGCACGACACATATTTGTTCTAACGCATCTTTGTTCTTCGTCTGCCGTCGACTCGAAGATCTTGGGCTCTCTCTTTGTAATTTCCGCTTCTCCGATTAAACCATTGTTGTCTCTGCAATTATGTTATGTGCCTTGCTTTATTTTCAAGTAATGTAATTTAGTCTCGGTTTTTTGTTTTTTTTTTGGTGTGAAATTTGTGCTTCGAAGGTGATCTGTTGAGAGGTTTGGTTTGAATTTAAAATTGTGCGTTATTGTGATTTGTTTGTGAATTTTTCCAGATCTGGTGTGTAATTTCTTGCTATTTTGGTTTGAATGAGAGTTGTGTTTTTCTTAGGATTGTGATTTTAATCGGACTCTCTTAAGTCTCGACAAAGCATGATTTCTTGAAGATTAAAAGTTAATTGCAAAGATGAAGAGGTCTAGAGATGATGCGTACATGAGTTCTCAACTCAAACGGCCCATCGTCTCCTCTCGCGCCGAACCGTTAGTCCTCTCTCTCTCTCTAGTTCTTTTTCCCCATTCTCTCTCTCTCTCTCTCTCTCTCTCAATTTTCTTATTTTGTGAGATTGTAAGCTGTGATTATGTGTGCTTGTTCACGTGGTGTTTTATTTAGTGATGAAAATTTAATCTTTTGACTCTGTAATCGTGTAATTTATTTAAAATTCTATTGAATCTTGATATTATCAGCGGTTCTGTGAATTCTGTTAGTATACTGGTTAGATATTTTGTTTGGTTGACGAGTAAAGGCTTTGGATTTAAATATATATATATATATATTTGGATTGGATAATAATATTAGATTTTTGTTCAAGTCGTCTTTAGAAAATCTGTCTGAAGTTTGATTGTGCCCAGGGTTCAAGGTAAAAATAAGGATTTCTGTTCTATAGAACATTGTACATACCCATCTTTGTTGAAAGAATGTATTTTTACTATAAATTTGTTGTTATCATGAAAAGAAAAATTGACTGTCACTTGGCCATTTGATTCATTCAGGGAGTTGATGAATATATTGATTAATTTTTTTTAATTTTTTGGGTGATGAAGCTCTGGGCAACCTCAGATAATGGCTGGAGCAAGCACACAGAAACTAACAACAAACGATGCACTGGCATATCTCAAGGCGGTTAAGGACATATTTCAAGACGATAGGGAGAAATACGATGAGTTCCTTGAAGTTATGAAAGATTTCAAGGCTCAAAGGTTTGATTATTTGCCTCTTTTTTTTTTACTGTACTTGCAGAATCCAAAATCAAGTTTTCACTCATTGAAAAGGAAAAAAAAAACACTCATTGATTTGAATGTTATTTTTTTTTCTTGTTTGTAGAACCGACACGACTGGTGTCATACAAAGAGTGAAGGAATTATTTAAAGGGTATCGGGACCTAATTTTGGGTTTCAATACCTTTTTGCCTAAGGGTTATGAGATCACCCTTCCGCCTGAGACTGAACCAGCTCCTGTTAAGAAGCCTGTCGAATTTGAAGAAGCTATCAATTTTGTCAATAAAATTAAGGTGAAAACAGCATGCTGCATTTAAGTATTATATTCTAGTTTTCCCTTCAATGGTTTGCATCTAATGGTGCTTTGCTTGCAGACAAGGTTTCAAGATGATGATATTGTGTATAAATCTTTTCTTGACATTTTGAATATGTATCGAAAGGAAAACAAATCCATTACTGAGGTCTACCAGGAGGTGTGTTTGTTGTGTTTTCTAGTCATTAACTTCTATCTGCTTTTTGGCATTTTCCTTTTTTGTCGTTTACATTGCTATGGCATTGGAGTTGTTTCCCTTAATGGTGAGTGTTACTAATAATTTTCATCTATTTGTAGGTTGCTACTCTTTTCCGAGAGCACCATGACCTGCTTGTGGAGTTCACACATTTTCTACCTGATGCTGCAGCAGCAGCCTCTCTTGCCTTTGCTCCATCTGGTAGGAATTCTATCTTCCGCCATGATGATAGGGGCTTGCCTTTGTCCGCAACAAGGCTTATGCATGTTGAAAAGGTAGTTTCTCCAATTATTTACCTATTTATTTATTGGCCTTTTCCCTCCTAACTTATTTTTTATGATCAATCTAACATATCACCTATTATAAAATTTTGCCAGAAGCGTATCGTTTCACATGCGGACTGTAATCTCAGTGTTGACCGGCCAGATCTAGACCATGATAAAGCATTTCTGAGAGCTGGCAAAGAGCAGCAGAGACGTGGTGAAAAAGAGAAGGAGAAAAGGGAAGACAGAGACCGAAGAGAACGGGAGCAGGATGATAGAGACTTTGAGCATGATGGTATGCAGCATTTCCCACATAAACGGAAATCTGCTCATAGGATTGAAGATTCTGTTGCTGATCAATTACGCCAGGGTGGGAAAGGGGAAGAAAACTTTGGGATGCACCCTGGTTCATCCTCTTATGATGACAAATCTGCCTTGAAAAGTGAGTAATTGTGCTAGTTGTGAATTCACAGGCTTTAATGTTGTTCAATTTATTATTGTGTCTTTACTTAATATATATTGTAACAACTTGTTAAGGTATTTCAAAGGAAAACATCATTTTACTTTAGTTGTGAGACTTATGATGTACTAAGCCAGGTCAGTGTATTCCAAAGCGTAAATCACTAGGTCAGTGTTTTCTAGTTAACATTAAAATTTTGAACAACCCTGAGTAAAATATATGTACGTCTGTACTTCCCTCTGTTGCCCTGTTTTTTAGCCACTAGTTCTCAGTGTTTCAATTGCATCCTTAGTACGTTGGTGTGGTTGCAGGTATATACAGCCAAGAGTTTTCCTTTTGCGAAAAAGTGAAGGAGAGATCTGATGTTTACAATGACTTTTTAAAGTGCCTTGATCTCTACAGCAGAGAAATCATTTCACGATCAGACTTGCAAAATCTGGTATGCCATAATTTTCAATGCTTGTATTTATAATGTTTGTCCGTTCTGGTATGCATTGTATGTGTGTACAAATGAAGTAATTATTTGCATGTGCAGATATGATCGTAAGTTAATGGCATCTTTTGGTTGTGTCAGGTCAGTGGCTTACTTGGGAGATATCCAGACCTAATGGAGGGGTTCAACGAATTTTTTGCTCGATGTGAAAAGATTGGTAATGGTCATTGACTGCAGCTTATCAAGTTCTATGTATTTAAGTATATTTTCTGATCTGGATTCTGCATTCTTATGATTGTATTTAATTAAGATCTATCTTGCAGATGATTTTCTTGCTGTTGCTGGTGTTATGAGTAAAAGTAAGTTAAGTGATTTAGTTTTAGATTTTATATTTATGGTTAGATATGTTTCTCTTAGCTTGCCCAAGGTGTTCAGGTATCTGTATCCTTAAGTTTCTAGATCTCAAGTGAAGTTGCTATTGATGCGATCAACATTTTAGAAGGCATTGAAATACCTTAATGCTGTGCACAGTAATGTCTAACCTGGCTTTTAATTAATTACAGGATCCTTGGGGAATGGAGGAAATTTACCCAGGCCACTAAAGATAGGGGACAGGGATAGAGATCGGGATGATAAAGCTAAAGATAGAGATTGTGAAAACAGAGAAAGGGATCGACCCGACAGAGGTGTATCCTTTGGTAGTAAAGATGTAGCAGGCCACAAGATGTCTCTCTTTTCAAGCAAGGACAAATATATGGCAAAACCTATTCAAGAACTTGACCTCTCTAACTGTGAGCAATGCACTCCCAGCTATCGACTTCTGCCCAAGAATGTAAGTAGTTCTTTCATCAAGATTTCCGACTTTTGAGGCATTTACTAACTTCTGGAAGCATACAGAATTAATGTTTTCTTGATGCAGTATCCCATACCTTCAGCTAGTCAGAGAACAGATGTTGGCGCTGAAGTATTGAATGATCATTGGGTGTCTGTCACTTCTGGAAGTGAGGATTATTCTTTCAAACACATGCGCAAAAACCAGTATGAAGAAAGCTTGTTTCGATGTGAAGATGACAGGTTTGGAATTTCTTGGAGGCTTAAAATATTATTAATGTATACGTTTTACCTTTATTTGACATTACGTAAAACCTTATTTCCTCTTGTGGCTTCTCAGTTTCATTTTCTGTCTCCTCCCTGTTACTTTGCAGCTTTAGATTACTAGTTTAGAGCATCTCCAATGGTGTAGTATGTTGTGTTGTTTTAGCTATCAAAAGTGCACTTTATACAGATTTGCTACCTACTGCTCCAACAGTGTCTAGTACTCCAACAGTGATTTTTTATTTATTTATTTTTTATTCAATTTATTAATATAAGTCAACGTTACAAATAAATAGATGGGCTATTGCATAGATGTAATTTCTATCTATATATTTAATTTATCTTAAATCATTTGTAACAAATTAACTCACTCTCAAAATTTATCTTGACATGACATCGTTGTAATTAGTGATAAATTAAACTCCAGTTATAATGGCATTGATGTACTTTTTATCATAAAAGTCAACTGGTTGAAGGCATAGTATAAAATACAACTGGGCTATTTTAGTGTGTTTTTGTTGTACTGTACTATTTTAGCATTATTGCTACACCTGAATACTACACTACTAGAGATGCTTAGCAGCCTGATTAATTATGCAATGCTTGTGCATTTTTGTTTGAATCAAGTCCTTGCTACTGGAATATCTCTCTCTATTGCATGGCTATAATTTATTCCATGATTCTATGCAACCTTTCCTTGTTATACTACACTACTAGAGATGCTTAGCAGCCTGATTAATTATGCAATGCTTGTGCATTTTTGTTTGAATCAAGTCCTTGTTACTGGAATATCTCTCTCTATTGCATGACTATAATTTATTCCATGATTCTATGCAACCTTTCCTTGTTTTCTTTTATATTTACTGTGCAATTAATAGTTTGAATCTTTGAAGTGTTTTCTTTCATATTGTTTAGAGTTTGACATCTGCTGATGTTATTGTTATATATGATGTCAGGTTTGAATTGGACATGTTGTTGGAGTCTGTTAATGCGACAACTAAGCGTGTAGAAGAATTATTAGACAGGATAAATGATAATACAATCAAAGCAGACAGTTCAATTCGTATTGAGGACCATTTTACAGGTGATAAAGTTTATAAGTGACTAATGAGTTTGCAGGATATCTTTTAAGCTATCATGTTGAATGCTTTTCTCTTTTGTGTTTATTGTAGCTCTGAATCTGAGGTGCATCGAACGTTTATATGGTGACCATGGCCTTGATGTGATGGATCTACTGAGGAAGAATGCACCTCTTGCGCTGCCAGTCATATTAACTCGCTTGAAGCAGAAACAAGAGGAGTGGGCTAGGTGTCGTGCTGATTTTAATAAAGTTTGGGCTGAAATCTATGCTAAGAACTATCACAAATCACTTGATCATCGTAGCTTTTACTTCAAGCAGCAGGACACAAAGAGCTTGAGCTCAAAAGGTAATTTAGAAGTAAATGTTATTAACCTTTAGTTTTTTAAAAACATTGTTAAAAACATTTATGAATGAAAGCAGAAGAATTTCGTTATTCCACTAGTATTGCGTTTTGGACCCTTGGGAAACGGAAATGTTTATTCTGTTTCAATGGAAACATTTGAAAATTTTGTTCCTTACTTATGCTGAGGCGATGCTTTCATTTTTACTCACATTAGCTTCCAGGAACTTTTGGGATTTGGTTTCACATTCCTGATGATGAATTTATGCCAGTCAAGAGTATAAAGACTTGAAATTGGGACATTGAGATCTGATCTCCATAATGTGAATAGTTCTGCTTCTCTCTCAAAGTGTTTCCTTATCTTCCTAACCATTTTGATGATATCCATTATAAGAGTTACTTTCTGTAGTTCTATTTTTAGGGGTTGTTTGGAGTGTGCTAAATAAGTGTACTTTTTGACTTTTTGGATTAAAAAGTATAGGAAAAAAAGATGGTTATTTGGGATAATTTTTTGTCTTTTTACAAAAAAATGTGTATTAAAATATTGTATAAAATAGCAAAATTACGTTTTTACCCCTACGTTCTAGACTCATCAGTAACAGTGCTGCACAAGAACTATACGGAATGGTTGAAATGGTGAGAAGAATCTGAACCACATGCATATACAGCATGAGGCTTCACGGGTACTGTTGAGCCCGTGGAGGCCCACCACAGGTCCCTTTTTGATAATCCAAACCGTTGAATGTGTAGAACTCGTTGAGTATTATATGCCTATAAAAAATCATTTTGATCGGATATCGATAGTTATGTGATCGAAACAATTTTGTATGAGAAAAATGTACAGTGAAAAATAAATGGCTGAAAAAAATCTGATTTGATTACATAACTATCCATATTCGATCAATATGATTTTTTTCAAGTATATAATACTCGAGAAGTTCTATATATTGAATGGTTCGAATTATCGAAAATGGGATCCGTAGTGGGCCCCCATGGGCCCAACAGTACCCTCCAACTTAATGAATATGTATATCTATTTTTTTTTTGGTACCATCACTGCGTAAATTTCCCATCATTTCAATACCATCACTGTGTAGCTTTTTGAATTATACTAATATTGTGGAAATTAATTTTTTTTATATTTTTAATTTGTGAATAGTGATAACTTTTTTACTTTTTGAGTAACTTTTTGACTTTTTCTCAACATGGCAAACCAGCCATTAGTAAAGATTTCAACATGTGAGGAAAATGTCTTCCTGATTTTTAGAAGAAAGCTGCTTTTTTTATATAAAAAAATCTTTTGGAGACTCAACTGAGGAGGAATCTGAGTTGACTTTCCATGGATGCAAGAGGAATTCGTATCTTTATATTCCTTCAATATTTTGTTAATTGTGGAATTGCTTGGACATCCATGGAAAAAGAATCATTCCATTGTGTTTAACACAACTTGGTGGTCTCCAATGTGGAATGGAAATTTTAGACCATCTAAGACCTTTGAAATGTCTTATTTTGGACATGCTTTAAGAAAGCCAAATTGATTCTTATGTATACTACATAAAAAGATTAAGTCGACTAATTTCAAATATTATGTTCAACATAAGGAATTCATGCAATCACCATATGACATGGGATGTCTCATATTTTGTTCAGTTACGATGGATCATATTTCATGTTTTAACATCTTTGTACAGCCTTATTGACTGAGATTAAAGAAATCAGTGAAAAGAAGCACAAGGATGATGATATGCTTCTTGCTTTTGCTGCTGGAAATAGAAGAACTATCATTCCACATATGCAATTTGAATATCCTGATTCGGACATCCATGAAGACTTGTACCAGCTAGTCAAATATACCTGTGGTGAAGTTTGTACGACTGAACAGTTGGATAAAGTTGTGAAGATTTGGAAAACCTTCTTGGAACCGATGCTCGGGGTTCCTTCTCGGCCTCAAGGGGCAGCAGAGGACATGGAAGATGTTGTAAAGGATAAGAATCATATTTCACAAAGTGGTGCTGTAAATGTTGGAGACAGTAATGGCAGTCCAATTGGTGGTACAACTATCATTACTACCAAAAAATCAAATCCATCCAGAAATGGAGATGAAAGTACTCCGCCCGAACAATCAAGTTCCTGCCGAGTTTGGTTGATAAATGGTGAAAATGGGGTTAAAGAAGATAGTCCTCATGATGTTAATCATACTGCATGTAAAAGTGATACCTTACATAACACCAGTCAACTTGGAAGCGTTCAGAGTAATACTATTTTGGCTAATGAAACATCTGGGCTCAGCAGACAAGGTACTTCAAATGAGCAGTTAGCTAATTCAAATACATCACTGGTTGCAGGAGCAAACAGGGAAATTCCATCAGGTTTGCATAATGTACTCGAATCTTGTATAACTTGTATTTATTTTGTTCCTCTGCTCTCCGACCTAGACACTGCCAGCCATTATTTTGGTGTCATTATTCTGATGTTGATGGCTGGGATTCTGAGATGCACTTTTTATTGCAAGGCCTTTGTGCTATTCCTACCGGACGTGGCAATGCTGCTGTTGAGGGTGGGCTTGAAATGAGGCCTAGGGATGAAATTTTACCTTCATCAGAGGTATGATGAAGTTTCTGGTAATAATCCCTTGAAATTGGCATTCTTAGGTTATCAAATAGAGCTCATTCTTTGTTGGTTGAGTGCTCTTGGTTTTGGTGAGTAATATCTTTATTATGATGTTTGATATTCTCTGATGTTAAGCATTGAAAGAAGCATAAATAAAAGGACTAAAGAATGGACGATTGGCTTACAAAATAGCATTTTACTTTCCTAAGTGTGGGGTTACAATTTGCCATTGGCCAGCTGTTTACTTGGTTAAATTGATCTATGAGAAGAAATCTATACTGAAATCATAGTGGTCTATCACCAGTTGTTAGCTTCAATGGTATATCTCCCATCACCCAAAAAGAGGAGTGTTCAAATCTTCTGTGGAACATGGGTCACAAACACTTTTTGTAATTATGGATCTACTACTAAAAGGTCAATGCAGAATCTCAGCGAATATGCATTACATGTTAGAAAAACAAAATCACAACGGGTTTGCATATTTGTAATATTTTTGTATGGATTTAATTTATCAAAAAATAATAATAGAATGGATGTAAAAAGATATATTTATTTGGATTCATATGCCATATTAATGAAAAAATCTTTGGTCCTCTTTGATGATGCTACAGGGTGGTGATTGTCCAAAACGAGTTTCATCTTTAAATGGGGCAATTACAGAAGGCAACAAAGTTCACCGGTATCACGAAGAATTTGTTGGGCACTCCAAAGTTGAAAGAGAGGAGGGCGAATTATCTCCAAATGGAGATTTTGAGGAGGATAATTTTGCAGCTTATGGAAATGGTGATATGGAGGCTGCACCTAAATCGAAGGATAGTGCTGCAAACAGGCAATATCAAAATCAAATCAAACATGGAGAAGAAGAAATATGTTGTGGAGAGACAGGAGGAGAAAATGATGTCGATGCTGATGATGAAGGTGAGGGAAGCGCTCAGAGGTCATCGGAGGACAGTGAAAACGCTTTTGAAAATGGTGATGTATCAGCAAGTGAGTCTGCTGATGGCGAAGATTGCTCCCGGGAGGAGCATGAAGAAGATGGAGATCATGATGAGAATGATAATAAGGCTGAAAGTGAAGGTGAGGCTGAAGGGACGGCCGATGCTCATGATGTTGAAGGAGAGGGAACATTGTTGCCACTCTCTGAGTGTTTTCTACAAACAGTGAAGCCTCTTACGAAGCACGTTCCTCTGGCATTACATGGAAAGAAGGATTCTCGTGTCTTTTATGGAAATGATTCTTTCTATGTGCTGTTTAGGCTTCATCAAGTAAGTCTTAGTTTGTTTTGAAATATTTTTACATGATTGTTCCTAATATATATATATATACTTTGCAGACACTGTATGAGAGAATACAATCGGCGAAGATTAATTCATCATCTGCTGAAAAGAAGTGGAGAGGTTCAAATGATACAAGTCCAACCGATCTGTATGCGAGGTGGGTTGACTTTGCAAGTTTTTTCTTTCAAACAACATTCAAATGATTAATGCATATTGATTTTGCAATTTCCTTCTACATGTTTTAGATTCATGAGTGCGCTTTACAATTTACTTGATGGTTCCTTTGATAACACAAAATTTGAGGATGATTGCCGAGCTATTATTGGAACACAGTCATACCTTCTCTTCACGTTAGACAAGTTGATATATAAACTTGTCAAACAGGTAAACATAAACATAATCCATTTCTCTTCATGTGTTTTTTGGTGTATATTTATTTTCTGATTCTGACTTGAAGATTCATTTTCGGGGTTTCTCTCATAGCTTCAAATGATAACAAGTGATGAGATGGACAACAAACTTCTCCAACTATATGCATATGAAAAATCAAGAAAACCTGGAAGATTTGTTGATATAGTTTATCATGATAATGCCCGTGTTCTTCTTCATGATGAGAACATATATCGGATTGAATGTGTAGGTCTTTTATTATTTTTGCATTCTTTTTGCAACTTGGCGCGAAATTTTATCTGATTACACACAAACTTTTACATTTTTAATATGCCCTGATATACCAGTGGGTTTTAATTTGCTGCAGTCATCCGCACCAACTCGTTTGTCCATACGGTTTATGGACTATGGCCATGATAAGCCCGAAGTCACTGCTGTTTCCATGGACCCTAATTTCGCAGCTTATCTTCATAATGACTTCTTGTCACTTGTTCCTGACAAAAGGAAGAAGTCTGGGATTTTCTTGAGAAGGTATGTACGCAACGGACAAAAGGAAGAAGTCTTGGGATTTTCTTGGGATTTTCCTCGCAGTTTTTAGTCTTTTATGGTTACTTAGGGTTATAAATGAGTTGAGTCAAGTTGAGTAACTAGTTCAAACTTGGTTTCAAAACAGACAAAACTTTCAAGCTTCAAAAATGTGTTCAATCTTGGTTTGTTTATCAATTCAGTCGATCTTAAACGAGCTTTAATTATCGAGCTAAGTTTGAGCCAAGCTCAGAAAATTAACAAACTTTAAAATATGTTCTAAGTACGGCTTCGTTTACCTAACAAGCCAATCTCACAAGCTTTTAGCAAGTCGAACATGAGTCAAGCTCGAGTAGCTTGGTTTGTTTTATAGCCTTGACTTTACTGTTGTCGGTTAGTGAATGTTGATTTGTTTTTGCAGAAATAAATGCAAAAATGAATTTGGAGATGAATTTTCTGCTACAAGTCAAGCCATGGAGGGACTCCAAATTGTGAATGGTCTCGAGTGCAAGATAGTTTGCAATTCATCCAAGGTGTGTTTTATGAAGTCGAGTTTTTTTGTCATCAAGTAGTGATTTGAGGGAATGTATTTTTATGTTACGAAGTGTGACATTTTGATGCTAAATATGGGTTGTATTTGGTAATGTCATAGGTCTCTTACGTTTTGGACACGGAGGATTTCTTGTACCGGGCAAAAAGAAAAAGGAGAACTTTGCATAACAGGACTTCATGCCATGACCAAGCAAAGTTTTCAAACGGTCGTCTAACCAGAGTCGAACGGTTCCGCAGATTGCTTTTTGGTTCATAGTGTACGGTTTTCTACAACAGCGCAAAAGTGGATACAGTATATGCCACCATATTTTGGAACTTTCTTTGATTTTGTTTTCATTTTCCGGAAACGAAAGTATTGAAAAGTTTGAAATCACCTAGTGTTTAGTTTTTGTACCAAAACAGTTTTCAAAAATTTAAGAACTTTACAGTGTATATCCTAAAAGTGGATTGTTTTCAGAAATTGTTTTTGAAAACAGTTTTTAGAAACAAGTTCATTAACATTGTTGATGTTGTGATTTTGATGTTTTTCAGTAGCCAATCAGATGATTTTTCAAATGGAAAGCTTCCAGAAGTGGAAGAGAGAGATTGGCTTTGCAGGAAGAACTATGTGGTGACGTAGTCATAGGTTTCATGGCATTTTGAATCCCCAATTCTGTAAATAGAGAGGTAATGTGCAATGTGAAATGAAAAAATCTGTTCTTTTTATTCATTGACCCCTCCTTTCTTTCTTTTTTTCTTTTTTTTTCGTTTCCTTTCTATTCCATGTAGCACTTTCGTTTTGACTTTGAGTTGGCTGCAATGCAGCTTGATTAGTACTAGTGTAAGAAGAATATTCTCCAATTTAAATGACAGTTTTGATATTTTTTGATATTTTTGTTTTTTCGTGTTTTGTTATTTAATATATAATGTATGTATTTGTGAGAACACCAAAAAAAAAAAAACTAAATTTTTGTAATTTTTGAATTTTGTAAAGGTGTTTTTACGATTTTTATACTTTATAAGTGATCTAAGCACTCGTTTGGTATGGTAGATTTTGGAGCTAAAAAGTTATTTTAATCACAAAATGATAAAATAAATTAAAAAGTTAATAAGATAATATGTCACATTTAAAGTATAATCATTTCATTTTTTTTAATAAAGTTAAAAAAGTCAAAAAAGTTATTTCAAACGAGACTTTTTAACTCCAGATTTAATAATCAAAAAGTTAACCTATATTCCAAATCAACTTTAAATTAAGTGAATTCGAAAAAATAATGATTAAAATATTAAAATCTAAAAAATACAGATTAAAAATTCAAATTTTTTATTTTTCATGCTTTGTTATTTTAAATTAATGTAATTACAAACACACTCCCTAAAGTTTATTTAAATTATGAATTATCTACTGTGATTTTAAAAATTACATTATGCATCCTAAAGTTTCTAATTTCATAATAAATAGTTCATTTTATTAATAAATCATTAAATTAATTAACAGTTTTTAATAATGTTAAAATTTTATTTTAATTAATAATTCAGATAATTTTATTATTATATTGGAGAATAATTAAAATTTTATTTTTTCAATTAATTCTGTTAAATAAAAAATTTTGACAGAGAGGAGATATTTGTAAATTTCCAAACCACTGGAGACAATTCTTATTTTAATTAGACGGTAATTTACCCTTTAATATATGTGAGGACATAATTTTTGAATAACGACACGTGGTCGAGGTGTCACTGGAGTGCCAGTCAAGGTGCCACGTGTCCTGATCATGACGCCGAGGTGATCTCGGCTAGGCCGAGGTTATCTCCGAAGATACCGGAATCCGAGATAAGCGGATAAGGGACGAGAGTCCTAGAATGGGAGAAGGCTTCAGTTTGGGTAAAGATAAGGCTCTTAGAGAGTTTATCACAATCCTACTAGGAGCCCAAGATTAACAGTAATCTTAAGTCCAAAGCTAGGCTTCTATTGGGACTAGGTAAGTGTTGGCTATAAAAGAGAGGCACCCCATGGGTCTAAGGTACGCTTTTTGTATTATGAATAGTGAGTTAAGCACTTTTGCTGTCTTTGAGAGATAACTGACTTGATTATCGGAGTGCCCCCAGGTGGACGAATCACCGCCGGAATCTCTTCTTTCTGTGACAGGCTGTTCGGGCTACATTTATTCTGCCAGTGTTCTCCAACTGAGCGCTTGATTGGCAGTGTGGTTGGAAATTGACACACACAATTTGGCGCCGTCTGTGGGAAAGATAGTAGAATAGATGGCCAACAACAGACGGAAAGAAAAGGTTGGAAACGACACTCCTGTTGGGAGTGGGAAACGTATCGACCTTGACGTCGAAGAAGACGACTGCAACAAAGAGACTCGTGATAAGAATCACGGAGAAAAGGACATCGGCCAGGAGGGCGACGCACCAAAGAAATCAGACCGAAGTAGGTATTATAATGAGGATGACCTCCAGGTATGGAAAGATAGATGCCTGCAAGAGAGGCACCCCCATGGGTCTAAGGTACGCTTTTTGTATTATGAATAGTGAGTTAAGCACTTTTGCTGTCTTTGAGAGATAACTGACTTGATCATCGGAGTGCCCCCAGGTGGACGAACCACCACCGGAATCTCTTCTTTCTGTGACAGGTTGTTCGGGCTACATCTATTCTGCCAGTGTTCTCCAGCTGAGCGCTTGATTGGCAGTGTGGTTGGAAATTGACACACACAATTTGGCGTCGTCTGTGGGAAAGATAGTAGAATAGATGGCCAACAACAGACGGAAAGAAAAGGTTGGAAACGACACTCCTGTTGGGAGTGGGAAACGTATCGACCTTGACGTCGAAGAAGACGACTGCAACAAAGAGACTCGTGATAAGAATCACGGAGAAAAGGACATCGGCCAGGAGGGCGACGCACCAAAGAAATCAGACCGAAGTAGGTATTATAATGAGGATGACCTCCAGGTATGGAAAGATAGATGCCTGCGGAGGGACGAAAAGATGAAGGAAATGGCAGACTTACAAACGGTCGTCAATTTCATGATGCAAAACAACGTCATGCAGCCACCATTCCCGCTGCAAGACACGCCGATTCCAGCGGCCAAGAACAATGCCCAGAAGGGAGGGAAGAAAGCAGTCCCTGTAGCCCCCAGCACACTAGAACCAAGGAACACTCTCACCGGCCTTCAAGGGAGGTCGGGCGAGGAGAGTCAATGAAGGGAAATTCACGGAGGACGCATCATACCACAGAAACTGACCCCAAAGAACATCAGCATGTTCAAGGGAAGGAATTATGTTTCAACGCAACTAATGGAGAGAGGTCCAAGAGGACTTATAATGACACTGGAAACAGCGCGCCGAAAAGGCTAAAATCCGGAGATAGCCGAGCTCCAGGACAAACCAAGGAGGATCTGAGAGATTACCTCCAGAGGAAGCAACAAAATGCCGAGGTTACTTTCCCGATCAAGCCGAGAACATCGTTCTCAGTAGAGTTGGATAAATTTGAGGCCTCAAAAAGGTTCCACATGCCGAGATTCTAGATATACGACGGTAAGTTGGACCCGAACTTTCACGTCGGCTTGTACCTAAACTCGATGGCATTATACATCGGGAATGAGCCATTGCTCTGCAAGATGTCCCCCTCTTCCTTTGGGGAAATTGCATCAGACTAGTTTCACAAGCTGCCGAAAGGAACTATGAAAACCTGGGAAGGCCTGGCCGAGATGTTCGTGGCCAGGTTTGTGACAAACAAACTACAGCCATTAAGGGTGGACTCCCTGATGACTTTGAGAATCAGTGATGATGAAAGCCTTAGGATCTACGCCAAAAGGTATTATGAGGTGTTTAACCGAATACCTGAGTGCAACCAAGAGGTGGCAGTCGTATCTTTCAAGAACGGCCTGAAAGATGATTGTCCACTTTGAAAGTCATTGGCAAAAACACTGCCAAAAAGTATAGAGGAACTCATGGCCAGAATTGATAAATATGCCAGAGCCGAGTGTTATCCCAAGTAGGCAACCCAAGAGGGACGGTGAATTGGATTATTAAAAATTCTACAATATTAAAATTAACACAATATTCAGAATTTTAATAAAAAAAAAAACAGAATAATAATTATCAATATAAAAGTAAGAGAGATAGGGAGAGAAAATTAAACACTGAGATTTATAGTAGTTTGGCACTCCAGGCCTGCGTCCACTCCCCAAGGAACCTCCTTGAGAATTTATTTACTATCAATTGAATAAATACACCACCAAATTTGTGGATTTGGCATAGGACTTACTCTTATCTATTGAGCCTCACTCAACAATAAATGTCTTACCCTTACAAAATCTCTCATAAAAATAAGGAATAAGAATAAGCGGTATTTAAACCCTCATTTACAATAATTCTCTCACAAAGAGTAGATATGAAAGTATAAGAACAAAGGCTAGACTTAGATCTGAAAGTAAAAGAGCAGAATACAATATACTCAGAATTTTGGAGCTCATCAAAAATTTTCTCTTCAAGTTCTTGATTTTTTTCTCCACACACAGCACTTCTATTTATACACAAAAATATACCCGTTGGACGCTCCTTGCTGACGTCATGGCTTACATAAGCACGTTACTGATGTCATGGCTTATGTGCGGGGAGCAAATATTCAGGCAAGCCGGCACTCCTTTTTTCCAAGCTCCGCTTCTATCCGGTCACCTGCGAGCAAATAACGGTGAGCTATCCGGCAGTGTGCAGCCGGAAAAACCCTCCGACGATTAAGTTAGCGCACACCTTAGGATAGAGAGAGAGAGAGAGGAGTGTTTAAGTGTAAGAATTTCCTTACAAAGTGTTCCTGTATCGCGTATGGGGGGCGCAGACATGCTTATATACCCTTCTGCGCCCCAAATCTACTCCCATTGGTCTCTCGACACGTGGCTCTGTTATCCCATCTATCAGCACAAATCTTGCTATACATCACCTAACCCAACTGCCAGTCCACTCTACTGGGAGCACGGCAGCCGGGCAACATTATCTCGGCTATCAACGGCCATACTGAACATGCCCAAGTGCAGTTGATGTCGTAGTTTCCTACTACCGGGCTTAATTCCAACCGTGCTCAACTGTATTCCGGCGAAGCTGAGCTGGAGATTGGTAACGCCGGTCAGCCAAAGACCTTCTCGGCCAAGCTCCAAGCACAAGCCTTCCTACCGGGCTAAGGTGCGTGCATTACAACCTTGCAACGCGTGAGCCAGGGAGCCTCATCTAAGCTGTTCCTCCACCTGTCCGGCCTTCGCGGAACCGAGATCAGATAACTCGGTTCCACGTGGGCTTTGCCATTACCGAGCAATATCACAACCTGATCTTGGAGCCCAATACCTCGGCCCAAATCTGTCCGGCTAACGTCACGGCCCAATCTAAGATCATAAATCTCCCTCTCAATTGCCCCTTAATTCCGTTCGCAAAAGCGTGATTGGGATTACTTATTTCGACCGGGATAACACTTCCTCGGTCCTCAGAATGCGAAATGGCAACCGGGCTAGTTGACATTCTTGTCTGCAAACTTGCCTGGTTATACTCCTCGGTTGACATCCTCTTCTTCAAAAGTAGCCCGGTTGATTCAACTCTTCAACCTGTCTCTTCAGTTCTGACGTCGTCATAAATGGGGACACGTGGCGGGCTGTCATTGGTTCTCGAGCAGCCAACCCGTCGTCTTGCCAGAATTTAAATTTGGGCGGTCTCGTCTCCTTTATAAACATTCCCCCCTCATCTTCCTTGAGCTCTTACTGACTCACTGCCATTCCAAGCAACCCAGAGCTCTTGCCTCTCCTCTGCCATTCCTGAACTCGCGCTCGAAGAAGAAGCAGCCACTGCTCCATATTGGTAAGCCCTCCAACCCTTGTTATTATTATTTTCCTTGATATTT